CAGGCCTCTCTCATCTTTTTAAGTGGGAGAACTTGCACAATTGGTGGCTGACTAAATACTTTTTTGCCCCCCTGTAAGTTTATTTATTTATTCATTTAGTTGTCTATGTTGGGGAGTTCATAACTATGTCATCAATTCAGAATATTTGAGTATCATTATGTAGAAACCATGAAAGTCAGGCAAACGTTATTTTGCAGCATTTACGAAAGTCTTGAAATCTGAACAGGTGGCATGGTAGAAATCCAGGGTTTGAGGATCCAAATGACAAGAGATGAACTATGAAAATGAAAAAAAAAAGACTTGGTTTGAAAAGACAACTTAATAATCCCTTTTCTGCAAAGAGGGATTTCTGCATAGAAACAATTTTGAATGCTCCATCGTAGCAAATGTGGGGGAAGGGCGAGTGAATTCAGACCATCTGTCAAGCGATAACTTATTTCAACTGGCATGCAACTTCTTGATAAGGTAGTCACAACTGTAGCTATTATAGAAGAGGAACGTTAAATTTTGTCAGGATATTTTTCTTGCTCTGTGTGTGTGTGTGCGCGCGCGCATGGGAGGGTTAGCTTAGGAAGTTGTGTGAATTCAGCTGGTTTGGTTCCATATGTTATGCAAACCCAGCACATTAATTGTTGCACGTGACGTTTATTATACTGCAGACTCTATGCTACTCATTTAAAAATTATTTGCTTTAAAACACGGGCTACTGTTTTACCGATGAATGCGTGCGGCTTTGTCATCTTTTGCCATCTTCCGGGATGAGATCGTTTCGCCTCCCTTTCTTTTTCCTCAACAGCAATGATCTCAGAAATGGGCACCGCATAGCTATCTGCAAAAAAGGAAGAGCATTCAAACAAACGAACAAACTGGCTGGACCAGGACCATGCAGCATTTTCGGCTCAGGGTGGCCAATGAGAAGTCTATGAGAAGCCTGAGACCAGAACAGGATCTTTGTCACAAAGGCATAAATGTTCTTTAGGCATTCACTCCAGAGGCATATTTAAATTAAGCATGTTGCTCAAGGAAAAAAACAAACAAACAGAAAAATGAACTCCCAAAATACATTTCGGGATAAGAAAGGAGCGAAATCTGTTCTTATCATTTCTGAAGTCAAAATATTCTATTCAGAAGCTTGAGAGAATAAAAATACTTTTTAAAAACCCCTTTGACAGGGTGGAATAACAAGGCTGATCAAAGGCCTTTCTGGTCTAGTATTACTCAGAGCTCTATGACGTTTCTCCAGAGTCTTGAACAGAAATAGCCCCAGCCTTTCACTGCACCACAATCTTTCCAGCCTTTTAAGCCATGGGATGGGAAGTCTCCCAAAACATATTCAAAGTACATGCCCCTTCTTGGGCTATCTCCCAAGTAAATATGTACTGCGCTGTATCTTTTTTGGTAGAGCCAAAAATGAAAGGATTCCACTGTTGGAGCCTTGGAGGAATACTGGATGGGGGAGGGAATCCAAGTGACATGTATACACTCTTATTTTAAAACGCGGAAAGAGATCAGTGACGTGCATCCAGTAATTCAGAATTATTTTGGAGTTCTCAGCACTGGATTCTTTGTGCCCAGACAAGAGGATGGCAATGTTTGTATGACAATAAACATTTTGTTTGTTACAGTAGGGAAAAGGAACTAAAGTAAAATCTTCCCCAAGTTGAATTTGGCTCCTGGTGCCTTCATGCCATGGCCACGTAGGTCTTTGGACAACTGGAAGTGGTTTGCCACAGCCATGTTCTCTGTCTAGCCTACAACCCTGATGCTCATCCAAATACTAGCCAGGACTTAGTGTGCTTGGTATATCAAATTAGTGGCTATTAGGACGGTGCGCCCTGCAGAAATTATTCTCTGGACATGCTTCAAGCACTGGATGAGCACAATACATCTCTCTTACTCATTAAAGCACACACATCTTTTTTCCAGGCTCTGCAAGGGTAACTTTACACTTTAAAGAGTTACACTAAAGACACACTGCTTTCATACTTTGAGGGAAGTGCTGGGCTTGTAAAGCCGAAAGCCATTTTTTCCCCTCAAATCATTTTCAAAGCAGGCACAGCCCTAAGTAATGTTGCCAAGAGAATAATGAGATTTGGGCTGAAATGAAAACCACCACAAGGCAGGGTCTTGCTGCTATAATTTAGGAGTTTATGCAGGCATCAACTTCATAAAAGAAAGGAACAGTTGTAGGGAGTCAATATTTATGAATAAAATCTATTTTTTGTGCCTTGGAATACATCTTAGAATATGGATCTGTTTCTTATGGTTTAGCATAATGTCGGACAGATGTCTACCATGCCTGTCAAAGGCAAAACTTTTATAGGAGGGGAAAAAATAGATTAGCGGAAAAAAGCTGCCATGTGATCCTTCCCAAAAGACCCCCTTGTTTTAAGACAATGGTTCTCAACCTTGGCAGCTTGAAGATGTGTGGACTTCAACTCCTAGAATTCCCCAGCCAGGCCATTTCTCAACCTTGGCAGCTTGAAGATGTGTGGACTTCAACTCCTAGAATTCCCCAGCCAGGCCATTTCTCAACCTTGGCAGCTTGAAGATGTGTGGACTTCAACTCCTAGAATTCCCCAGCCAGGCTGGCTGGGGAATTCTGGGAGTTGAAGTCCACACATCTTCAAGCTGCCAAGGTTGAGAAATGCTGCTTTAAGAAGATGTTAATAGGTGCTACATGCTCTCCCATATTTACGCTCAATCACCTTTTTCTCTTCAAATCCAGATAGTTGCATAGTTCTGGAACAACCTATATTTAGCTAAACTCTGTTTATTTCAGAAACAATGAACTGCAAACACAGAGTTACTCTAGCTCTGAAAAGCATGCATAGCAACCAGTGTGTTATGCCTATCACAATGCTCTGTCTCTGAGCCCTGAATGATCAGTTAAAGCAGTGTTTTTCAAACTTGGCAACTTTAAGCTATGTGGACTTCAACATTTTGGCTGGGGAATTCTGGGAGTTGAAGTCCACAGATCTTAAAATTGCCAAGTTTGAAAAACATTGGTTTAAAGACTATGGTGCGTTGCATTCTCAAAACTGCAAAAGCATATATTCAAATATCTTTATTACGGTCTTTGACCAGCCTTTGTAAAAATAAACAATACAACAATTAGTTATCAAATTAAGAAAGAAGAAAACAATAAAACAACATAACTAATTAAAGGTTTTGCACAATTGTATAACATGATAAAGATATTTGGCCACCTGGTATGGGAGTATTGAGTCAGCATCCCCTAAAAAGTAATAAACATAAAATTTATCAGTATGGCCCTCAAATTTATAGATGAATGGCGAGACCAGAGCACGTCTTGGGGCATCATAAAAAGAACACCGTAAAAGGACATGAGCAAGATTTCTACCTCCCTGGATCCAGAAGGGCAAAGTCTCTGTAAATAAGGAGTCCCATGAAATCTTTCCGCCAACAGTGCTGAAGGGGACTGTAAAAGCTAACTTGCTCATATAATACTGTGAAAGTGACAGAAACAAATGCATATGTCCCACCTCCACCAAAGTGGCAAGCTTCCAGCCCTCTTCGTCATAAGAGTATGAGAAAATGGGCAAGAGTTTTGTTGCCATAAATTTCTTATGTATCTGTGCCTCATTTGCAAAGTAGATTCTTGCTGGAATTCTTGCGTTGTAGCCCCTATCATTCCTTGTACTATTATTAGTCATCATAGTTCTGGGAGACTTGTTTGTTGGATTAACCATTCCCAGGTGGGAATGACTGACAGGAGGGACGTTTCAGTTTAACACACTTGCCCATTGAACATATTGACCTTTTTCAAACCAGCAAGTGTTATGTCCTGAACAATCCCTATAATCCCTGTGACAATTCTTTAAGTTGCTGCAAATTATGGGAGCCATCGGTCCAATATGTTTGGAGGTTGGAGAAAGCCAACCTCAACACTGTCAGGTAAAAAGAGTGACCACTAAGCAACGGACAACTGCCCTCTTATTTGCTCTTCCCTGATCAGTTTTAAATTGCAATGTATCAACCTACAAATCAGTCTTCCTCAACATGAGCACACCATCCTAATGTATGGACTTCAACTCCCAGAGTATCTGGTAGGTGCCCAGATTGAGGAACATGACTATCCATATTATGTGTCCAAGAGTAACATTTTTAAGTTGTTTCACATGCCCTGTATCACATGGAACAGCAATGCAGGAACTGACATCTGAAGGACTGTATGATGATGTTTGAGCATATGTTTCATATGGAAAAGGCTGTAGGTTCAGTCCCTGCCATAGAAATGGGCAACATCTTTACTGAAAACCTGGAGGACCTTTGTCTGGCCAAGCAAATCTTTCCACAGTAGTTGCTGAAGAGTTATACAAATGTTAATGATCCTCATTTCTAGATATCATCTGAGAATGTCAAATGCTTTTCTGACAACTGAATGAAAGTGGAGAAGGGTTCACTTAAATTCTGAAAACCTGCATTTTGTTCCAAACAATTTTCTCTCTTAGCCAAAAATATGAAATGATATTGTTTGGGCATCAAAGCTATATATAAAACCAATTTAGTATGTCTGGATTAATTTCCTAGAATGTTAAAAATGGTCATACTAGATGTGCTGAGGAGAGATAAGATAAAAACCTAGTAAGAAGTTAAAATGTTTTCAATCCAAACTACTATTCTCATCCTTTTTCTACTTTAGAGTGGAAAAATAAAATTCTGGAGTCACCACATGTTTGGACAGAACTACCTATGTCCACCTTGTTCAATTCCAACTTGAAAGTGGGAAAAGATGAATTTGAGATACAGAACAGAGCACACTTGGCCCCTGAAAGTGGATTAAGAACTAAAAGGTAAAAACAAAAAGAGAAAAACTGAATAAATAAAGTTTAAAATATATTAGGGTTGACTAATCAATGACAAAAAGTTGATGCCTACAATGTGTAGAAGACCAAGGAAGGGAGGAAATGCTAAAGATATTAAAGGGCAGATGAGACATGAAAGAGAGAGGAAGTGATTCATCTTAACTGAAATTAAGAAATCAAGGGAAATAATTTAGGATAAATTTGCTAGGGAGAAAATGTATTCCAGCATTTGTGACTATGAGACCACAGAGAAAGTTTCCCAAGCCTGTTTTTTTTTCCATCATTAAATGGAACTCCACATTCACCTTATGCACCAACCCCTGGCTGACTTCATCTAGGTTTGAATGCTATGCAGATTTATCTTTTAAATCTTGCATTAGAACTCTGTGATGAGTGCATCTCTTAGAACTGTTATGAGAAGAGGTTGATGTGCTATTCTTGGATTGCCTCTTTGCTGGTAAACATATGTCTCACTAAAAGTTCTGAATGGTCACGAATGTTTACATCACTGTGGCCGCGCACTGTTCAAAACTATAGTTTATTTAAACATGTCTTTTTGAGTAAGCCACAATTAGAACTGCTTGTTAAGTCATAACCAGCAAGTTCTGGATACTCATTCCAAACCTAAAGAAACTCTATTTTGATTTATTGCAATACATGAACTCAGCAGATCCCAGCACCAGAAAAATCCCATGTTGAAATTTTTTTTAAAATTTCCCAAAATGGTAATAGCAAGCTATTTTCATATTATGGCCAAAGAATTACAAGAAGTTGTAAGCAGCTGAGTTTGACTCAGGCAGACTTTCCTTACTTACAAATCAGCTGAGTAAACATCTCTCCCAACCCTTCTATTTTTTTACTGAACCACCCAAAGAGGAAAAATGGTTTTCTTGCTGGGCACCTATGGTTTCTCTGCTTCCTTCTCAAGACTCAACGGAGCGAGCTTTATCTTTGCTATTTCATGATACACGTAGTGGACTGAAATATAAGTTTTCCCTGTCCCTATGATGAGTGAGAAATTTCTCTAAGAAGCATCTAAAACTGGAATGCCCTCACCCTGCTTTAGGACTAGATATGATTAATGTCTATTGTAGGCCAGCAGTCTAGTAAAAAATACTTGTGAAGCAGTAAAGGATTTTGGCTGAGCAACAAGGCATACAGAGCTAAATGGTCAGAAAGAAAATACAGCTAAGGTTTTCTCCCAGATTTGCCAATTTATGACTATAGTAGATATTTTTGGGGTAAAGGAGGATTCAGCCCATCTAAAGAAATGCATAATCTGTAAGCTTCAAAATACTGAAACATCTTAGAAATGAGTTCCGATAAAGCTGGGTACATTTCTTCCAAAGAATTGGGGTTGAGACTGTGGGTAAATCTTAGGGAAAAATTCTTTTCTTCCCTTCATCAACGCTACCTTTGTCTTTGTACAACACACTGACCTATGATTAACTGAACCATGTTTTACTGAACCTACCCAACATACTGAAATATAAACTAGCCATACTGCCCTGGGATCACACAACCTGAATGCCAACCAAACACTAATGAGTTGTGCCAACACAGCATATGGCTGGCATAGATTTAACAAGCTCATTTTGAAGTAACCCTTCCAAAACTTGGTTCATACTTTTCCATTATATTCACTATGCACAAAATAAGTCAGTCCTCCTTGGCCTATTAAGTGTACAACTTTTCTTTGGAAGGGGTATAAAGATTACGGAGAATACATATCAAGGAGTAAATCCCACATAGATTTAAGGGGATTTAGTTCTGATAAAAAACTATCTTTAACTCACATCATGTCATTTTCTAAAGTCTACTGAAGTGACTGTTTTTCCCATCTTCCTTAGATAAATGTTAAATGCTAGGGGGTGTTATTGTTCATAAGGTTCAAAAGCATTCTTTATTATTTTAGTTTTTAAAAAAAAACATGGCTTCATATTTTGTTGCATGTTTAATTTAAATGTAAGTTATTTTGCTTATAAAAAGAGTTTCCTGTTTAATCTGTTTCCCTAATCAGATTAAGGTAATTGAACAGGGTTATGAATTCTGTGGTTAATGAACTTTGGTAACAAGTTAACTACTCAGCATCATTTTGTAAGGTCATGATTGTGTTTCAAGCAAACTACACTTTCCTACCCAAAATTTAAACCAGATTTGAATGTATTTTCACAAGACAGTGAAGAGGGCTTTCACAATTTGTATAACAAGAGTTTTGGAGAATGAAAGGAAAAATGTACAGAAAGCTCCCTCTCTTGCTTTAAATACAAATTATCCAAAAGAAATAAAGATGCTTTACAAGTATAATCTTTCCTATAATATAGGTTATTTCTTTACATAATTTGTTAAGCTTTAGCATGATCCTAATTTAAATGTACAGCATGTATACTTGTGTGTCGGTGTCTGTATATAATGTCTCTCTCTTAAGCTGCTAAACTGAAGAACAAGAAAGGAAACTGTTAAGGCTAGGAATTACAAACTTTATTTACTCTGTTTATATATCCTGTTTATATTTGACATGGGGGCATTCTCAGCTGAGTCTATCTGTGATCTTCAGTGCCTCTGGTGTTTATCTCAAGATAAATACATCTTAATTTCAAGCTCTATGGTTAAAAAAGCTACAGTATTGGTTAATATTTTGTATATGAATCAAGTCTATTAAAATGCATTCAATTTGCATAGCCCTATTCTAAGTAAGGTGCTTTAACAAATCTCCATGAGATTTGCATCAGGTATCTCATTCTCCACCTTCTCTGAGAGCTACATCATGAAAACGTGACCTTCTGAGGGAAAGCAGAGATTCTCTGATCAGAAGTAGCGTCAGAAGTACTTTTGCTGAAACAGGCCACAGAGAATTTCCAAAAAAAATTTGGGGATTGTGACACCTGCCTGACCAATGCACCTGCTGATCCAGGACATTATGAGCCCAATCTCTGTGTATTAAACCTCTCACATTTGATGGACCTCTGGACTCGGGTGGTCTATGCCTGTGTATTTAAGAACGTTGCCCTTCTCCAACTCAGATGCACAATTACTAGATTTCAAAGAACAGATGTTACAGGTGCTTTGCTGATGAGTAATGAATGATCCAATGCCAAGCCAAGCACCAACTGTTTGCAATCCAAATAGCTTAACCTATGCTTTTGCACTGTCAGCAAGGATGAAGATAACCAAAGGATAGGAAGTCACATTCCAAAAATATCTCCTGTTTGGGACCTGTAGGCTATCCTAGTCACTGTCTGCATCTTCCAACTATATTTTGTAGGAGCCAAGGATGCTGTCCAGCAAGGACTGAGTACTAACTGCCATGTAAATGCAGAATGGATCACTTAAGCACTGGCAGCAAGAGGGGGACATGGTCAGTGGGTGGTGCATTTGGCACCACATGGCCTTTCATGGCAAACAGTGTCACCCTCCCCCCACACCTCACTCATTCTTGTGCTCTGAGGCAGGGCTGCTTTTGAGGCGGGACTCTCCAAGTCAGGGCAGGAAGGAGGGAAGGCTTGGCAAGGGACGATAGGCCATGAATTTGGGGCTACCTGAGGAAAGACAGGAGAAGGGGCAGATCTGGTTACCTCACCATGAGGGTCTTTCCACCAGGCAAGTAGTGAAAAAAACAGCAAGTGCCAGAGGAAGGAAGGAGTCATGGAGTGAGAAAAGCCAATGAGAAAAAGATTGAAGAAGAGAGCAAGCGAGTTTTTGGCTCATCAAAGGGAAAGCAGCAAAGCAGGATTTGGTTAGCTCTTAACGGACGGGTCTCATAGATTATATTCTGCTGTCCTTAACTTGATCTCAAAAAAATCTGGCATTCTCATTAATGCAAAACACTGCCAGCTAAGTGGCCAAAGTGAAACAGCTGTGTGCAAAAGTTTAAGCACCCCCGGCCCAATTGTATATTCAGTGAAGCCAAACAGAAGTTGGCACAATCTCTGCATGGTACAAATTTAAACACAACTTATTTCTGCAAATGTGAATGCATGCTTATGATTTATGTGCAGCAGCTGTCAGATTCAAAATAAGAAAACAGTGAACAGGTGCAAAAATTTGAATGCCAGTACTTTGTAACTTCCTAAAGACCTTTGTATCCCTGGATGAAAAGGCTGCAGTATTATGACTGTGGAGCTAATGAATCAATTCTCATGCACCCTTTGTGAACATTTGAATCTGAGACCCCCATCTCAGAAGACACCTAAAGTCTTTTACATTCCATGAAACAACTGAACATTAAAAAAAAAATCCATAGGTTAGTGAAGAGAGGAAAAAACATCTATTTAATTGAGAGGTGTTTTTTTTAATAATCTAGAAAGAAAACAAAAAGTCACAACTAGAAAAGGGAAAGACATTGAATAAGAAAATGAAAAATATAAAGTTCAGAAACTCCTCCTCCCAAGCTAAGGTTGCCCATCTCACTTTGAAAAGTATTGAATAAAAAGACTGCTACTTTTTTCCTTCAAATGATCTCAGAACAATCAGCTTCTTTGCAGTTTTTGGATAAAAAAACTCTTTCTGCTGCAATCCATGGATAAACAAATTAAAAAATCACCTGGGGAAAAAATGTTTAATTCACTTTTCTTTAGAGGTGAATATGTGTGGCTCAGGGTTGAACTGTGGAGTCCTTGGGGTTCTCTGAGCTTGG